AGAGAGAGAGAGAGAGAGAGAGAGAGAGAGAGAGAGAGAGAGGATTTTGGAGTAGTTTGCCAGGGACCCTACCTTTTCTAGGGATTTTTATAGAGTAAATCTGTGAGGTGAAGTGGGTTCAAGATGGGAAGTTGCAAGGTGGGCATGAGGTGGGACAAAACTATGGTCACCAAGATTACAAGTATAATTGCTCAGGTAAAATTGATTAAATCAAGATCAAACAGGGAAAGGAATCAAGTTGAAAGTAGACATGAATAAAGAACAGGGACTTTTCTTGTAGGTGGATTGGTTAGTGGGTCTTTCTGGCTTTTTCAAGGGCATACTGACCTAATAGAATAACAATCCCTGATATTTGTCCTTAGGACTTATGTGGGTACATTTGTTTCATCTTTTGTCTTGCAGTCTGGCCCTCAGTAGAAGTGCCTGTCTTACCCACAGCTGTAAGACATCTCGTCTTCTGCCCTGGCTCCTTCCAGGGCCAGCCCCATCTGACTGCCTATATTTCTTCTAAGTCAGCTGTCGACAGCACCTTCACTGGTGGCCTGGAAGAACTGCCTCCAGCATCACCAGGACCCAGTCATCAATGTATTGAATCTGAATCTCTAGAGGTTAGACTTGGGAATAAATAATTGTAAACAAATGTCTCAAGTCATTTTAATACAAAATTTTAACAACTAATCTAGTACTAAGTAAAAAAAAACCTGTAGATATTTTTGTCATCGAGGTAACGATGGGGGACATCTACTTCTGGATCCCACAGGCATGCCTAGGAGTAGAATGTGAAGGCTCACTCTGGAATTAGCACTTATTGTGACCCACGTTACTGTTTATGAGAATGTCCCATTTGACCAAGTGGTACAGAAGATTGAGTTCATTAATCTTCCCCATATTCTAGTTGATCATCCCCTTCCTTGTAACTCTCTGACAATGTAGCACTCACTATAGTTTTCATCTATTTATGCAAAACATTCTGAGCACCTAGTATGTGCTTACTTAGTACTTTGCGAGCAACAAGAAAAGGGTGAGTATGATACAGAACCTAACTCTTTTAATTTCTTGTTACTTCTGTAACTGATTATCATAAACTTAGCAGCTTCAAAATTTCAAACACATTCTCAAGTTCTAGAAGCCAAAATTCTGAAAAGAGGTCTGAATGGGTTAACATCTAGTTGTCAAAGATGTTTCTCTTTCAGGAACCATGCTCCCTGGAGTATTAGATTTCTTGTCAGCTTTCCCATGCAACCTGCATCTCATAACTCATGCTTGCTTACACTATCTTCCAAAGGAACAAACTTGCAGCTCTTTTTCCCTCTGAATTATTGAGTCTCTCACCACAAGGAGAAACTAAGGTCTCCAATTGTGGGTCTTCCTCTCATTCAAAAGGACCCATCTGGGTTATCCACAGTAACTCATATCTCTCTTAAGGCTCTAGCCCTTAGTCACTTTGGCAGACTCCATTTTGCCATGTTAGGCAACTCATTAGTGGTCCATGGATTAGGATGCCAACATAGTAGTAAGGCATTATTTCCTGCTGAATGGCTCAAAGAAGCTCATTTCTAACAAGAGAAAAAGACAGAATAGAGTAACAGGTGGCAAAACTATCATGGAAACATAAAGAAAGGAGCAACATGTTCATATTTTGGTAAAGAATAGCCTGGGTAGGCTTCCCAAGCAAGATATCCATTGGATTCAGTTTGGAAAGTTAATGAATGAGAGACATCACAACCAAAAAGATGGCTTTATTTAAACCTCATATCTACAACACAAAGAGTTATGTGATCCTGGGAATATTTCTTAACTATTTTGAATCTAGAGGCCTTGGCCAAATCTATAGCAAATGATTTGTTTTATAAGATTGTTTGCAAGATGTGAGGCCCAGTGAATGGAAGTGTCTACATTCATTTTTGTGGGCTCTAATAAAATAGGATTTTTAAGGAATTTCAATTTCTAATAAAGAATAGATATTTTGATATAAATATATTGCATGAAATACTTGAGGGCCTTCCAGATAGTTCAGTGGATTAATGCACTTGCTTAGGCAGCTGCAGGGACTGGGGTTTGATACCTGGCATGCAGTGCTGGCCCTGCCCCCAGGGCGCCCTGAGAAAGTGAATAAGATTGGGCTTGGTGCTGTGCATCTATAATCCCAGTGCTTGGCAGGCTGAAAAACAAGAAAGATCACTACAAGTCTGATCTGTGTAGTGAGATCCTGTAAACCCTGTATTAAATACATTAAAAAAAATTGAGGTATGTGTGGTCTAAATGTTACTGGAAAATATTATTTATGTGAAATTCAATGGTTAACTACTTAACTCATTTTTATTGACAAATAATTATGTACATTTACCTGACAAAACGTGACATTTAAAATGTACATATATATTGTTAAAAGAATATTGTTCAAGGAAATGAACACAAATTTAACTGAATATCATAGGTTTTATCTGACAAACTGTACTTAAAAATATTTTAGTTTTAAACTGAAAAAGCTGTACATTTTTGTAGTATACAGAAAGACAAGCACTGCTGGATCTTAGTGCTATGTGAAATCTGAAAGAATTGATCTCATACAAGCAGAGATTAGAATGATATTTACCAGGTGTGGAGGATTAGTCAGGGTAGGCGGACTGGCCAAATGTTGTTCAAAAGATGCAGAGTTAAGTTAGATAGGAAGAATAAATTCAGCAGATATACTGCCACTAGTAAAGACAACACATAACTGAATGTAGTACCCTGTCAACCTTTCAAATAAATTTCAATTGTCACTTATGCTTGGCTCTTAAAAATACTAGGAAAGTGTCTTTGATATGCAGTTGAAAAAAATTTAAACATTTTCAGTGGGATATTTATAAGTAGCACTGGCTTTAGTGTCATGAATATATATTCACAGCCTATGAAATGCCAACAAGAGGGCAAATTCTTCTTGTTGGAAGAAGATGATGGAAGAGAAAACTGAACTCAGATAAACCATTTAACCTTAGACCTTTATTTTCACATCCCAAATTAAGATAATCATAGAATGTACATTATAGATCTATCTTAAGGATTAATTAAAGTCATTCAGATAAAGAGCCTAGCATAGTGTCTTTGAGTCATAATACAGTAAAATAT